GTTTCCGCATCTTCGCCCAATACCATGGTGGCTCGAGGCGGTCTGTTTCTACAGCAGCCTGCCCAGACATCCGACGCGGCTTCCCAGAGGTCCAGACCTCTTTCTGGGGACCAGCTTTTCGCCCTGAGTCGTTTCGTGACGGTCCCGGGACCCGGTACGAGCCTCCCGTCGGGCGGAAGGCAGCAGGGGGCAAAACACGTGGTGGCATCGAGGATTGCAGGAAAGTGGCCCAAGAAGGGGTTCTAACTGGCCCTTGAACTGCCACCGGGGGCCCAGGCTCACGTTTATTCACCCCGCGTTTCTTGCCCCCGTGATAACGAAATTTTGAGACGAAGGCTGGAATGATCTGTGCAATCACCCGGCGTCGTGAGGTCCTTTCAGGCCGTCTTGAAGCCCTCTTGGGCCGTCTTGCGGGCCTCTTGAGGGCCTCTTGGGTCGTGGTGGGGCAATCTTGAGCACATATGACCGTCATGGAGCGCCAAATGCCCGGAAAGGCGAGAAAGCTAAAATCATTGAACGGACAGCTGAACATCAATGATTTGGGGCTGCTGGAGTTCCTGATTTTGTCCACGTCGCGAGGATGTCCAGGTGCGCTTCCGTCCGCAGTCCGGGAGGGCAGGCCTGCATATCGATGGTGGCGGGGGCCCGCACGGCACTCTTGGTGCTCGGGGCGATCGCCACGCTCGCCGCCGCGGACAGCGGCGCCTGCGGCTCCGACGATGCCGGCTGCGCTGCCGATGCCGCTGAGCTGATGCCGGTGGTCTGTGTTTGCGGCGAAGAACTCAGAGGAGGAAGAGGTGCTACCCTTTCCTCGTTTTCTCTCTGTGGGGTCTCCTGGGAGGCCCTCGTGTCCACGGATGCACTCGCCTTGAAATTCTGGTCAGAACGCACCCCCAGAGAGGTCCAGGGATCAGAGGTATCGGTGCCTGTTGGTTCTTCCATAGGCTGGGCCAGGGCGCTCCTGTCGCCGTGAAGGAGGGGGTTACGGTGGGTTCAGGCGGCGATGGCGAGCTGGGGAAGGCGTTCAAGGTTGAAATCCGCATGATAGAACGACGCGGAAGCACCGAGGGACACGGTAAAGCCGCAGCATCCGACGGAATGCAATTTGGAGCGATGGGGGCGGCGATCAGTTCAAGGTGGAAGAATCCGCGCGGTGTCAAAAGTCTCTGCATGCGCCGACGCCGCGCGAATCTGCCGTGCAGTCACGAGTGGCGGACACATTCGTCTCCGGGCTCTCGCAGTCTGGGTTCCGGTGCGCGAGCACACAGCGGCGCGGTCGCACGGGCACATTCCGCGCGGGCAGTTGCGAAAATACATGCCCCGCATCCGCGGGGCCGCGGCCCCCAAGGGCCGGGCCCGCGAGGTCGCGGATGCCTTTCTGTGTGTGTGGGCCCACGCGGACTGCCGGGCCAGGGCGCCCCTGTCGCCGTGAAGAGGGGGACGGTCCCGAGGGGCACGGACCGCCTTCGGGCTCCCGTTTTCGGTCTCCCGGGCTCGGCATCGCTCGGACGAGTGCATTGTTCCTTCGGCGAGGACCGTCGAGGAGCATCCTTGACCATTTGGCGAAAAAACCTCGCACGAAGCCGAACAAAAGCACAGGGAATGGACGTCCGAGCGATGGCCAGCTCGTTTGGGGGAGAGGTTTCTGAGGAGGGTGTGGTGAGGAGGTGGAGCGTGGTGGTGGTGGTCATTGCAGCAGGGGCAACAGTGCTTCGCCGTGGGTCGCTTTTCCTGGAATGGACTTGGGTCCAGGGTTCCTTTTCTGTTTTGCAAGCTTCCCCCGGGCCTCGACTTGCGAAGGGCCGGCGGACTCATTCTGTGATAAATGGCGGGGTCGCGCAGGGTTGGCGAATTCAAAAGTTGAGGATGTTCGAGCGAGCCACTTGTTTCTGCAACTCCGATATATAGAGCACCGGATGCGGCCCATTTGTAGGTCGAAGACATGCCTCCCGTGCGTGCCCGCTCGAAGAGGAAGTGCGCCGGGGGGGGTATCCAACATGAGGTCGTCGGCCTCTTCGCACGTGAGAGTAGGTGCGCGGAGGGGATCTCCAGCATGCACCTGGCGCCCGTGTGTTTTGCCACCTGCTTTCACGTGTCCAGGCCACCCGGGGGAGTACCAAACATCTTGTCCCGAGCTGGAACGGAGGTGTTTTTTGTGCCTTTCGCGGGCCACACACGGAGGGGGCGGATCTCGCATCGTTGTCCTGAGCAGTGGCCGCGTGCTGTCACGAGCCTATGCCGCAGTGGGCTTTCCACGTGTCCAGGCCACCCGGAGGGGTGTCTGACATGGTGGTCCCGAGATGAAGCCAAGTGTTTCGACGTATCCAGGCCACCCAGAGGGGCATTGCACACGGTTGCGCCAAGCTGGAACCAAGTGTGTGCACGTCTTCAGGCCGCCTAGGGGGTATCTAACATGGCGTCGGGCCCAGGAAGGCCCAGGAAGCACCACGTGTTTTTTTTCATGTCCAGGCCGCCGAGGGGCGCATCTAACACGGCGTCGGGCCCAGGAGGGCCCAGGAAGCCCCAGGAGGTGTCACGAGGTCCCAGGAGGTCCCAGGAAACTCCATGAAGGCCAGGAGGCACTAGATGGCCCCAGAAGGTTTTCAGGAGAGCCCAGAAGGTCTTCAGGAGAGCCCAGGAGGCTGCAGGAGAGCCCAGGAGGCCCCAGGAGGCCCCAGGAGAGCTCAGCAGGCGCCAGGAGGCCTCAGGAGGTCCCAGGAGGCCCCAGGAGGCCCCAGACGGGCCCAGGAGGCAGATTCCCGTGCGCGCCCGCTCGAGGAAAGTGCGCCCATGTGGATATCCAACATGAAAGCGCCGGCTTCTGCACACGTATAAGCACATCCGTGCGAGGAGGGAATGTCCACCATGCATCTGGCGCCCGTGGTTTTGCCCAGTGCTTTGACGTGCCCAGGGCATCCAGTGGGGTATCTGACATGGTTGCCCCGACCTGAAACCAAGTGCTTTTCGCGGACAGGGCGTGGGCCCAGGGTTTGTTTTTAGTTCCCAGCGATCCTGTGGTGTTGGGCCCTCGTTTTGAAGAAGCAGTCCCCGCGTCTCCCCCTTCCTCCTCTTCCCCATCCTTCTCTCCCTCCTCGAGGCACGGTGCGCTCCCCCTCGCCCTCCCCTCCTCCTCCTCCTCTTTCTCCACACCAATTTCGCTACACCCCTTTCGAAGATCGTAGACCCGTAGGGAGCTCCACAGAAGACTCCGGGCGCAGGCGTTGCATGGCGGCACCGCGCCCATTTCGGTACACCCTTCACGAGGATCGTGGCCCTACAGGGAGCTCCACTGAAGGCTCCAGTGGCAAGGGTTGCATGGCGAACTCCACCCATGTCGGTACACCTCTCACGAGGATCGTGGCCCCATAGGGAGCTCCACAGAAGGCTCCAGTGGCAGGGGCTGCATGGCGGCACCGCACCCATTTTGGCACACCGTTCACGAAGGTCGTGGCCTCGTAGTGAGCTCCACCACAAGCTCTAGTGGCATGGGGCTGCAGCGCGTCACCGCCCATTTTTCAGCACACCCCTCACGAGGATCGCGGCCTCGTAGGGAGCTCCACAGAAGGCTCCAGTGGCAGGGGTTGTACGGTGGCACCGCACCAATTTGGGTACAGCCTTCATCAGGATCGTGACCCCGTGGGGAGCTCCACAGAAGGTTCCAGTGGCAGGGATTGCACGCGCGGTGCAGCACCCACTTCGGTACTACCCCCCTCACGGCACACTGGAGTGGGGGGAGGAGGAGGAGGAGGAGGAGCAGGAGGAGGAGGAGGAGGAGGAGGAGGAGGAGGAGAAGAATAAGACATTGCAGGGAGAGCGCCGCGCAGTGCACAGGAGACCGCCTGTAAGTAGGCGCCGCATAAAGGGCGGCCCATGCCTCGAGAGCATGCCAGGACCCACCAAAGGATCACGGCCCTCGGCACACAAAGTTCAACATTGTTATGGAATATGGCGCTGCTTCGAAAGTTTGAGCGTCCCCAGGAGGACCTGGGACCGCACAGTGCCAGTAGGGAAACCATGGCTCCACTAGGAGCCGAACCCATCGAATTTCTGGGTCCGTGGCCATTGAAGGCCTCGATCTAGGGATGTAACGACCGTCGGTCCTCCCTCCATGGGCGGGATGCCGACCCGAAAGAAAAAGCCTGCGGTTGCGCTGGGCTCGCTCCGACATCGCGTGACCGTCGCCTGATCCACAGGCAATCAGGAGGTGGCCTGCAGTGCTCGTACTTTAGAGACCGACAGAAACACAAACCAGTACCTTTCCAGATGAGACCCATCACGTGTGGCCTTGTGAGGCTTCCCCGGGCACGACACCCCGAGGAGGCACTACAGAGGCGGGAATGGTCTCGACCTTCTCGAGCGGGTCTATTGTTACGCCCGCCTGCTCTCCTTCCCATGTTACCGCTAGCATCAGGAAGGATGACAGGGCCTTCCCTGTCCAGAATCACAGGGTCAATCTTACCCAAAGCCTTACTGCGGGCAGACGTGGCATCCGATCGGACCAGGACTCGTTGAGTGGCATTGGTCAGCTCTTCGGCGTCTGCCGAGGAAACCTGCACAGTGTCGTGCAAGGTGACTCTGGGCCGCACATTCCTGGCGCTGGTGCGAGCACGACAAGCCTCCTGAGGCTCGCGGTCGAGAGAGCGATTCCCGCACTCCGGTCCCGTGGGGGTCCCGAGCACAGGCCCTGGGTCGAAGCCGCGGGCCAGGCACCTTTCGGTACCCTTCCTTCGCACCGAGGATTCAGTCTTGGCCCCAGTCTTACAAAAACTGCAAGGCCAAACATCTGGGCGAACACAATTCATAGCGTGACAACTGCTCGGATCATCAGGCAGCACGGGGGACTTCGTTCGTTTCACTCGCTTAGGTTGAGCACGCGGAAGAGAACTGATCCTGCCTGGGCCAGCGTGATGCAACGCAGCTGTGGCAAGCCAATGCAAACGCCTGCCGAACGGAAGCCAAGGCCATCTTCATGGCTCGTTGCTGTGGCTTCTCAGCGGCATGCATGTATCTGCCCTTGCGCGCCGCCAAATCGGCCCAACGATTGCCTCGAGCTTCAAACGAGTACCCCGCCTGAAGTCCTTGAACTAGTGAAACTTGAATAGCCTATCCAAGGCCTCCGAGGTCCTCGAGCTCCCCCAGATGGAGACCCACAAATCGGCGTTGGGCCGTCTAGGCCCACATGTGATTTGTGGCCCAGCCTCCAGCCCTTCCAAGATCCCATGGAAATCGGTATGTCCATGGATGGGGAGGAGACAGACATTAAGCACCTGTAAGCACGCATACAGCCCAGATCTCGGGGAGCTCTGAGAGGGCCCAGGCAAAGCCCCATGCGCCATGAGGTCAATGTTGGCCGCCCCATATTCCACAAATCCCCATCCTGCCCGCGTCGACTCTGGCCAACACCAAGACCTCTGACGCGCGCCGTCCGTGAAGATGTTTCCTGTGACGCTGTCCAGGGAGTCGCACTCAGCATGCCATCTCTGGCTGTCATCGCGCCCCGGCAAAGGTGGGAAGCGCGACCCCGGTGCAAGACCTCTTGTCCAGAACCAGGAGCTTTCTCCCGCAGCGGGCAGATCCCGCAGACTACCCACAGCCTTGGTGCGCTGCCGTGCTCGCCCAGGACATTCTCAAGCAATGCGATGGCCAGCGCATTGCTCATGCACGCAACGCGTGCAGCACGCAGTCCCGAGACTTCTGAGCTTTGCGGTCAAGAGCCGTGCGTAGGAGGTCGCCGGGGGACCTGGTGGCCCTCTATGC